AATATACTGCGTGTCACACTCCGCCTCCGCATCAATGCAGGCCTTGTGGTATGCTTGATCCTTCTAAGCGTCAGGAATCAAGTGCTTGATCCACACAGGGGACAACACAAGAGAGGACCGCGATGCTGGGCATCACCTGGACGAGTGCTGTGCTCATAATGTCACAACTTCCTCTCCATCGTCAGGCTCGCCTACTTCGAACACCGCTTCCAAGCTCAGGCCAACGAGCCGACCGAAGATACTTATCAACACCCGAGTGGAGGTTGCAATGTGTTGCCCCATGTCGTCAACCGTTGTCACACCTGTCCTTTTGCTCTTGGTGTTGTTCGAACTGTTCTTAGTGGTCGTAGAGCTCAGTGGCAGCTGAGCTCCTGCGTCGGAGGCGGTCCCGGCCGCATTCTCCTTGCTGGTCACGCGGGGCAGCGCGACCCCCTCGCTATCCAAGAGATCTGCCAGAGTGTCGAACACGAAAGTCAGAGAGATGACCAACGTGGTTGTGAACAATGCTGCGCCCATATAGACTGTGACTCGCGAGTCCGATAGCCAAACGAACCAATGAACCATCATTCCCATAACAGTGCCGAGGACACGCTTCAGAACCTGACAACTCTCGTCATTTAACGCCCTCAGCTCCACAACAAGGACAGGTCGTGACGATCAGGGCATCCATTGCCGGCAAGGGACAAAGAACCTAGGAACTCACAACTGCCGATGGCTCACAAGTCACCGGCAACTTGCTGGGAACCAAATGAAAACAGAAGGCATACTCGCTGCAGTCAACGACTGGCCGACTGCGGGTTAAATAATTAAAGAACTATACATAACGCCGCTGAGACGAATGCCGTGACATCGTCTTCGGCTTCATCGATGACATCGGTGCATTCGTGGAGGTGGTGGAGGTGTAGTTCAACAGGTTTCTTAGGGATGTCGATAACGGCACGAGAAGCTTTGCGACGTTGAACCACAGTTGGAGCTCCTTCTGGCTCTGGTAGGTGCAGCGGCCACACCAGGAATTTGACTCGAGATATCCATGTAATATTGACATGTCTATGCCTAGATGCGTCTCGTGGCTCAGCTCCTTGATGCCCAGGCCCCTGGACGGATCACCTGCGATTGCCTGGTTGAAGAGAAAACCCTCTATCATCCTTAAGAGGGTCGTGGCGCAGCATATCGGCACGCTAACTGAGAGCAGCCTGAGGGCGGCCATGCGAATATCGAGGTCGCTCCATCGCATGAAGCTGTTCATGCCCCCCCCACCCCATGACCAGGCTAGCGGAAAATACGAACATCACGGCACAGCTTGTGGGATCGACTCCTCGTCGTGGCTGCCCCCCGATGGCCCCCCATGAGCGCTGCCCTGCTACGTAGTCGGGCCGTCTCCACGGTCAGCAACTTCGTGGCAGATATCGTGGGCGCCATCTCCATGGTCGCTATCTCCGTGACCGTCGTCTGCATGACCCTCCTCAACCTCGCTGGCGTGGTCTGCAACACTATCCGCACCCTCGCTGGCGTGTGGGTCGTGAACTTCAGCGCGTGCGTCGTGTGCGCCAGCAACCTCCTCCAGATTAATCGCCGTCGCCAGCCTGAGCCCAGGCTTTGCAGACGGTTGCCCGACCAGCAGCACGACCAGCGCCAGCAGCGCCATAAGCGCCAGTCCGATCAGAAGGAGAGCCGTTGCGCCCGCGTGAGGAATCGAGCAACACAATGAAACAATTGTTGTGATTGCGCGGGCATGTCTGCCTTGCTCAAGCTCCTGTCGCGAAAACGTCCACACTCGAGCCTTGAGCCAGAGGCCGCGGGGTCTAAGAGGCCGGCAATGCTTCTGAGAAGGCAGGGGGCGTCGTGGGGAAACCATGAGATACAGTGGAAGCCAGACCACGAGAAACCTTCCACAAGAAACCCAACCCTGAGACCCCAGGACGTCCATCGATTTTTGGTGTGGGAACGTCACGCCCCCCACAGCAATCGAAACCCAAGAAACCCAGGGTACCCTGTAGGCAAGCAGGGTGTTTCTTGGCATGGGCCTCCACTGTAAGGTAAAACCATATCATGATGACGCACGATAAGGATGCAAGGGCCTTTGGAGGCAATGTCTACACGTTGCGAGCAAGGCGCGGCCAGCGAAAGCGGCCGAGGATGGGCCGAAGGGGAAGGATAAAAGGGTAACCTTGCAAAGTCGCTCATCCTTACTACGCAGGTCGACGATACCGATGCCGCTACTCCCCGGACCTCTCCCGGGGTGCGTTCTGCCTAGAATTTGGAGGCGAGTCCAGCGGTGGCAACGAGGGCCTCCCAAGACGCCCGATAATTCGAGAACGAGGGAAAGCTAGCGGTATGGGTACCCTGTCCTCCTCGGGCGTCTGGAAGGTCCCGAGGGGCTTTTGGGATCGCCTCTCAGAAACCGGGCGGGCTGCTGATATGCCACCCTGCCTCCTCGGAAGCCCCGCCGCTGTCCTAGGAGCCCACCCCCCCGCGCCAACCCCCTTGTTAGCGTTCTCTAATTCGGCGCTTCGACATCAGTCGGAGAGGGGGTGGTGTCATGGTCAGACATCTGCTCGGTGCCAGTTTCCGGCATTGCGTCCTGTGGGGGAGACCCCACCTGCTCGAAACAGGCGCGAAAAGCAGACGAGATCTACTCCCTGGGAGTGGGGAGGGGGGCGGGCGAGGGCCCGCGCCGATCGGCAAAACAAGGAATAAGACACCGATCGCCTTGTGGGCGCCGCCATCGACGATCTGATCTGTTCCACTCTGGGCGCTTTTTTTCTGGATTTCGGCCCCGCGCCACTGTTAGATGCTCATTCTGGGGACCTTCCTGGAGCCACTCGCTCCACTCGTGCGTCGAAGCTGCGTCGAAGCTGCGTCGAACCTGAGTCGAACCTGAGTCGAACCTGAGTCGAACCTGAGTCGAACCTGAGTCGAACCAGAGTCGAACCTGAGTCGAATCTGAGTCGAATCTGAGTCGAGCCTGAGTCGAACCAGAGTCGAACCCGAGTCGAACAGATCCATTGGGGGGCCCCCCAGAAAGGTCCCCCAAAACGAGCATCGAACCACTGGGCACCAGAGGGCCACCTCCAGCGAAAGCGGGGGCGACAGAGTGGACCCGACGTGGCCGAGACGTCCGGGGCCGCAGAGTGGACAAATCACACCAGCGCATGCCAGGAGGAGAGGGAGGACGAGGACAAGGAGGAGGAGGAGGACAATCACAAGGGGGAGGATGACAAGGAGGACAAGGGGGAGGATGACAAGGGCAAGGAGGAGGAGGAGGACAAGGAGGATGACAAGGAGGACAAGGAGGAGGAGGACAAGGAGGACGAGAGGCCGCAGAGTGGACAATCACAAGGAGGAGGATGACAAGGGCAAGGAGACGAAAGGGCCGAGACGATGGAAGAGGGCGATGAAGGGGGAGGACAGGGAGGAGCCTGACCCCCATCGCGTCCTGGAAGTAGGGCCCGGTGTTGGTTGTGTGCTGTGTTGGCTGTTGGTTGCGTGCTCGGTCTGCGGGGCCCCGTGCAGGGCCCCGAGACAGCCACAGCACCGCTCGGGATGGAAGCTGGTGCCCGGGGTCGAGGCCTCTGGAACGGAAGCATCCGTGCGGGCAGGGAACCGACTCGGGCGAGCTGGCCCGAAGGCACGGCGCGTCGGCGCGCATCACGGCTGAAGCCGAAGCCGAAGCTGACACAATCGGAGGCTCATCCCACTGACTCGGTGAGCAGCACGTCGTTGCGAGGATCAGGGGCAGGCTCAAAGCCGAAGCTGAAGTGCACGCGATCCAGTAGAAAGCGCTCATCCCGCAGCCGCGGTGATAAGCACGTCGTTGAGAAGATCAGGGCCTGGATCGGGGAGACCCTTAGTTGGCCCCGGAAACGGCAGGCCCGATTTTTCCCCGTTTCCGAAACAATGTCCCTTGAAAATGGAAACGGCAAAAAAACAACGACCGGAAACGGCAACAATAACTCCAGGAATGGAACCGGAGCGGAAACCCGTAGAAGAACGGCGACGGAACCGGTAAAAAACCGGCGTCGGAACCAGTAACAAAAACGGCAAAGCGGAACCGGTAAAAACAACGGCCCTGTCGTTTCCAGGGCCCACTAAGGGAAGACCAGTAGCAGGACCAGGATCCCGAGGAACTGGCAACTGCGAGCGGCAGAGCAGGGGGAGCAGACGACGGAGACGATCGTCGGACAGCGCCGCAAGGAGTTCGGCATCAGGATCAGCAACAGGTGCGCACCTCTGTTAAATGTATACTCTGATCTGGTTCGCATCCAGAGGAGGAGGATGAGGAGGAGGAGGAGGAGGAGGAGGAGGAGGAGGAGGAGGAGGAGGCGGAGCAGGAGGACGCCGAGGAGGAGGAGGACGATGAGGAGGAGGAGGAGGAGATTGAACAAGAGGACGGAGGAGAAGCGGGATAGGGGGGGACCGGTGGAGGGGCGGCAGCACAAGATGGAGGATAATGAGGACGGGGACGAGGGCAGGGAGCCCAATTTCGACCCGCCCCGGGTCCGCCCTGAGCCGCAGCCGCCCGCGGAGCCCGCGGCGCCGCCGCTGGGCGGCCCGCAGCCGCAGCCGCCCGGCGGTCCGCAGCCGCAGCCGCCGCTCTTCGGCACGCCGAGGAAGGGCGCGAGGCCGCCGCCGCCGCCCTGGCCGCCCCAGCCGCCGCCGCCGGGGCCGAGGCCGCCGTCGCGCCCGCCGCCGTCGCCCAGGCCGCCGCCGCAGGGGCCGAAGCCGCTGCTGGGCGGGCCGCGCGCGGCGCAGCCGCCGCAGGGGCCGAGGCCTCCGCTGCAGGGGCCGAAACCGCCGCCAGAGTGGCCGCCCTGGCCGAATCCGCCGCCCGATGGGCTGGTCAGGCCGCCTCCGCAGCCGCCGAAGCTGCCGCCGCAGTGGCCACTTGGGCCGCCGCCGCAAGGGCCGAAACTGCCGCCGCAGGCGCCGAAGCCGCCGCCGGACGGGCCGCTTGGGCCGCCCCCGCAGGGGCCGAAGCCGCCGCCGCAGGCGCCAAAGCCGCCGCCGGACGGGCCGCTTGGGCCGCCGCCGCAGGGGCCGAAGCCGCCGCCGCAGGCGCCAAAGCCGCCGCCGGACGGGCCGCTTGGGCTGCCCCCGCAGGGGCCGAAGCCGCCGCCGCAGGCGCCAAAGCCGCCACTGGACGGTCCGCTTGGGCTGCCACCGCAGGGACCGCCCGGGCCGCCGCCGCCGCCTGAGCGGCGCAGACAACAGGGGATTCACGCACGAGCAGCAGTTGTCAACATCGAATCGACAAGTCGGATCGGATTGTGAAGCGCGCCGGGTTGGGTCGCATCGGCACGGAGTCGGAGTCGGATCGGATCGGCCGCGCCAAAACACACAGCATTGCCATGCGAACCCTGGGCCGCATCGGATCGTCAGAGCATCGGAAGCGAATCGGATCGGGCCCGTGTCGATCGGATCGACGTGGACCCTGCAAGACGGAGGGTGGAACGGGGGCCAGACCTCGGGCCAGGCGCACAGAGAGTGCGAGGTGCGAAGCGGCAGCTCGCCAGGTAGACTGCCACTGGCGCCACGCTTTCAACCCCACTGCGCTTCCCCAGTTTTGGCCCCAGGGGCCGCTTCTGCGCCTCATGGCCTGCGTGCGAAACATATGCCTTCAAGAACGGCCGTCCCGCTGCCCCATCCTCCTCCTCGTACCCTCCCCTTCCTCCCGCCCCGCTCACTCCCCCTCCTTCCCCTCCTCCTCCTCCTCCTCCTCCTCCTCCTCCTCCTCCTCCTCCTCCTCCTCCCCCGCCTTCTCACGAACAACTGCGAGCAAGAATGCATAACATCATAACATAGTGCCAACCTAACATGTCAACCGTGATCTTTGCCGCCGCGCATTCGTCCGAAGAGAGAGAAGCGCCACGCCGTTTCCGTCCTGAGCCTTCCCCGCTCCCCTCTCAGTCTTTTCCTTGTCGTCGTGCGGAGCATGTTCCCCCCTGCCCTATAGAACCCTCCCCTTCCTCCCGCCCGCTCTCTCCTCTCCTCCTCCTCGCCCCTCCTCCTCCTCCCCTCCTTCTCCTCCTCCTCCTCCTGGTCTCCTCCTCCGCCTCCTCCTCTTCCTCCTTCTCCTCCCCCTCCCCCTTCTCCTCATACTCCTCCTTCCCTCTCCTCCACCCCCCCTCCCCTCATCCTCCTCCTCTTTTCCTTCTCCTCCCCTCCTCCTCCTCCCCTCCTCCTCCTCCTCCACCCCCTCCCCCCGCTCCCTCTCCTCTCCTCTCCTCCTCCTCCTCCTCCTCCTCCTCTCCTCCTCCTCCTCCTCCTCCTCCTCCTCAAGGTCCTCCTCCTCCTCCTCCTCCTACTCCTCCTCAAGGTCCTGCTCCTCCTCCTCCTCCCCCTCCTCCTCCTCTGGTTCCTCTGGTTCCTACTAGGTCGTGGCCACCTTTGGCAACCACTACCGCCTCATGTCTTGAGGAGCTTCCCCAGGATGTCCACGTAGCACATGAACCGATCCAGGAGCGATATGGATTTGAGGATGCAGACGTGCAGCGCGAAGCCCGCAGTGGCACCGCCCCTACTTGCCGCCCTTGCCCGTCTTGCAGCCTATGGCCGCCGCCCCAGCAGCAGCCACGAGCGGCTCCACGTCCCCGTCGTCGAACTCGTACACACACGCACGGCGCCCGCTCCCGACCAGGACGCACACGGAACCGCTCACGGGGACGCCGTACACCGTCCCCTCGCGGCCGTCGCGGAGCCGCACACGGGCGCCTTCCCGCAGGCCCGCAGGGGCCACGGCCGCCGCCGACGGCGAGGGCGCGGCCACTCCACCGCCAGCGTCGAGGGGCAGGGCGGCGCTCATGTCCTTGTCCTTGCCCTTGCCCGTGCGCCACCCTGTGCTGGACGGCGGGCGGCTCAGCTGCACAGGCAGCTCGTCCGCCCAGCTGTCGTCCTGCAGCATCGGCACGGTCGACGTTGCAGCCCTCTGCCCTGCGTCATCCGCCGCCGAGTCCTCCCCGTTGCCCTCCTCGTCGCTCGTGTGCATCGTCGCGTCGTCCACCGAGGCCGCCCGAGCAGCGCCACGCTCCGCGCGCGGGCGACGCCTGCGGCGGCGCCGAGGGCTCGCGGGAGCATGATCGCCAGCAGCAGCAGGCTTCGGGGGCGGCGCGGCGGCCAGCACGGCGACCGCGGAGCGCGCCAGGCCCTCCGCCGCGCGCAGGGCGCGGACGGCGGCCCGATCCACGGGCGCAGCGAGGCCAGCGGCGGCATGCACCGCAAGCACGCTAGCCCGGGCCGCCTCGAGCGCCAGGCGGCGCGAGGCGGGGTCCGCAGCGGTTCCCATCGGCATCGGCGGGCCAGGCGCGCCGACCAGACGGCGACGGCGCCACGGGGGGCGTGAGCCAAAATGGATTACCTCCCCTCCTCCTCCTCCTCCTCCTCCTCCTCCTCCTCCTCCTCCTCTTCCTGCTCCTCACCCCCTCGCGGTGGCCCTACGAATGCTGCTGTGTTTTTCGCCGCGGCCAGTGGCCATGGCCCGTGTGGCGCTGCCATCGCACGGACAGACCTCTCATCCTTCTCCACCTCCTCCTTCTTCTCCGTCCAACTCTCCGTCCCCTTGCTTCTCTGTTCCCCTCACCGTCAGCCGCCCCAGTCCCCTGCCCTGTGCCTATCCTCCTCTCCTCCTCCCCCTCCTCCTCATCCTCCTCCTCCTCCTCCTTCTCTTCCTCCCTCCTCCCCTCCTCCTCCTCCTCCTCCTCCTCCCCTCCCCTCCCCTTCCCCTCCTCCTCCTCCTCCTCCTCCTCCTGCTCCTCCTTCTTCTCCCCTCCTCCTCCTCCTCTTCCTCCCCTCCTCCTCGTCCTCCTCCTCCACCTCCTCCTCCTCTCCCTCCTCTCCTTTCCTCCTCCTCCTCCTCGTCCGCCTCCTCCTCCCCCTCCTCCCCCTCCTCCTCCTCCTCCTCCTCCTCCTCATTCTCCTCCTCCTCCTCCTCAATCCCTTTCTCCACCGCCCTCCATCCATGTAAATGTCATTCAATGTTTGGAGGTCCGCGCGGATGTCACGGAGCGGAGCTCGACCAGCGCCAATCCCAGAAATTCGCGCGGACATCCGAGAGCTGTTTGTTTATGCCGATGTCTCCTTATCTTCGGCTACAGCAATGCGAGGGGAGTAGGGGCAGCTGCGCACACGGCGGCGTTGGCCCAATCTTTAATTGCATGCGCAATGCAATGGGCGCGCTGCGCGCGCGCGTTAGCGACTTCATGGTTGACGTGAACTGGGTTCGAGGATACCATGTTGCACCGATGTGCCTACGCGCCCCCCATGCCCCCGACCTGTTGCGCTGGAACCGAGGACGCCTTGTCTCGGCCGCCCAGTCGTCCGCAAGTCTGTCTTCTCCGATTCTTCGACGATCCGCCGCTCCTGCCCAGGCCCAACTCGAGCCAGGGATCGGTTGACATGCTTCTCTCGCCAGTCCAGGTGGGCGCACGCACCGCTCCTGGGCCCAGGGCGGACCTGGCCAGAAGCGGCGGCCCTGCCCAAGCATCCGACGACGTGCTCTCTCAGCTTGGGGCCCAAACAAAAACCAAACTTCTTCCCGAATCTCCTCGCCCCTTCCATTGTGATAGCCCCAGGACCCGATAACGGACCCACGGGCCGAAGTCGAGGAAATCACGCTGGGGTTGAGAGCAGCAGAAAACATCTCGTGGCAGATCTGGGTATAGGTCTCGGCGAAGGTATGCTCTCTGGAGGGGGGGCAATGTCGATCCAATAAATCCGCGCGCCTCTGGGAGCTGATGTTCATGCCGCTTTCTATGATTTGAATATGTTCAGGGTGAAAATAAGGTCGCCCAATTCTACCTCTAATGCAGGCGAGCTCCCTTCCCACTCCTGGATGAGAGGAGAAGAGAAGGAGAAGAGGAGATCGACAGGAACAGCAGGAGGAGGGAGGGAAGTGACAGGCGGAGGGGAAGCGGGAGGCGTAAAGGGGAGGAAGGAGGAATGATCCTCAAACGCCGCCTCTGCGGCTGCATTGGACTGCACTCCAGACGAAGAGGCACACCTAGGGGGGGGGGAGCGACCCAGCTGCATGCGGCTGTTTTTTTTCCCCGGGGCAGTGACGAGGAAAGCGCCCTGCGGCGGGGCCGGAAACAGCTGCACGCAGTAGTTTTCGCCCCCCCCCCTTCCATGTCCCAATGCCCCCCCGTTCCTCGTTCGTTCGACCCGACTGATGCCTGTCGTCAAGCTTCGGGGCCAACCATGTCGCCAAACGCACGTGCCCAAAATCCCCGAACCTCTCCACACATCCGAGGTCTCGATGTTAGGTCGGGCATGTTTCTCTACAGGCGGATTTTGGGCGAAAGATTTACAACATTACTCAGAAAGTACAAACATAATAATTTTAAGAACAAGTATTAAACAGTCCCCCCAGAAGTTCCAACCCATATTTTTTCCCCTGGGCTGGTGGGTCGTGATTGCTTCGCGGCGCGAGTCTGCCTGGGTATAACGTCCGAGCGGGACCTTTCGATGATCCTCAGAACGCGTGTCAGCGCCAACGTGTGCTTGCCCGTTGAGGCCCTTCAGTGCGACGAAGGCGATGTAATGATCTACTGGCTGGGCTGAAGGGGGCAAACACACATTGGGCTGACACACGTCCTAAAGATCATCGATCCTTGCAGAGGTCCGGGCCCCTTCTTCCCCAGGACAAACTTTTCATCCTGGGTAGCTGTTTGACGGGCCCGGGGCCCCGTCATGGAAGGCCCCTGGAAGCCCGACACAACGAAAATCCGTCCGCCACGACCCACGACCTCTTCATGACGCAAGAGGGTCAATCTCGAAAACGCCCGAACCGATCGCCGGTTTTCGGACCCAGATCGTGTTCCGAGGACGTCTCGGGCGACCAGGGCCTCCAAGGTCCGAAGACCGTGCGGTGACGGACCGCCGCGGCGATATCTTTTTGGATCTCGAGGTCACCGCGCGACCCATCACCGCATGGCTTCAGGACCCCCGAGACTGGGATCACTGGGGCCCACTTCCAAGGGACCGTTGTTTCGCCCCAGATCTTGTTTTGTCAGTCCTGGCATCCGGCGGAGGCCCCCAGATGCCGAACACAACGAACATGGAGCAGCATGGAAAACCCGCAGGAGCAGAAGTCTCAGGAGACACGCGCGGTTTTCTTGGATCGACACTGGTCCCACCTCCCCTGCGCGCGGAGCGCACGCCAGGGGGGGCCCAACGCCGATCCATGAAATCCGCGCG